TCAAGGGCAGCGCATGATCTTGCCCTTGAAGCGGTAACGCGACGCGACGTCGATATACTAATCGTAAGCGAGCCGAATAAGAAGATCATTCAAGGAGAGCGATGGTTGAAGGACAAGAACAGGGATGTAGCGGTTTTCTTTCATAACAGAAGCGTAGAGGTGGAAAAGACAGTGGCCAAAGAGGGATACCTCTGCATCCACTTGAGTAACTGCTGCCTGATAGCTGCATATATCTCGCCTAACACCGGTTTGGAGAACTTCAAGAGCCAGATAGATGAAATCATGAGTTACGGAGCTAGTACGAGGAGAGAATTCTGCATAGTGGGTGATCTGAACGCGAAGGCTCAACAATGGGGGTCTCCATTTACGGATGCCAGAGGAGAATACTTGCTGGAGTGGTCAGCGACTTTGGACTTGGTCGTTCATAACACAGGCGGCAAGCCAACTTTTCTCAGAGCAGACCAAACATCTTGGATAGATGTGACGTTCTCAACACAAGGAATTGCCAGACAAATAACGAAATGGGAGGTGCTCGATGATGAGGTGCTAAGCGACCACGCCCTAATATACTACGAGATGAAGGGGAAAGCAGGCAAGATGAGGGAAAGACAGACCATTTTGTACAATTGGGAGACTTTTGGAGAAATCCTAGACTGGAGAGCACAAATCAGGGAAGGCAACTCTTTAGAAGAATGCACTGGGGCTATTAGAGAGGCATAGGTTCCATATTGGGACCACTTCTGTTCACTTTGTACACTTCCAATTTTCCTTCGTTCTTGAGGAATTGTCACTCCCATTATTATGCGGATGACACCCAGATATATCATTCTTTCGACCACGCGAATCTCCATACTGCTAGCATGGTTATCAATACAGATCTAGATACTCTGAATGAAGTCTCTAATGACCATTGCTTGACAATTAACCCTACTAAATCACAACTTTTGATATTCGGCAACAAAAAGTATAGAAATCAGTGCAAGGAGCACTTAGAAATATCAATAAACTCTCAACGTTTAGAAATTGTTGATTCAGCAAGGAATCTGGGCCTCATCATGGATAGCGAATTGAGATTCAGTCAACATGTCTCGAACTGTATCAAAAGAGCATACTGTAATCTCAAATTAATTTATAACGTATCCAAGTTTGTAGACACGAGAACTAAGAGAACTCTATGTGACGCGCTAGTATTAAGTAATTTCAATTATGCAAGCCTTGTTTATTACCCCTGTTTGACAAAAAAAGATCAAAATCGTATTCAGCAAGTCCAAAATGCATGCGCAAGATTAATTTATGGTGTTAGGAGGCGCAGTCCCATTTCACAGAAAATCACCGACAGTAATTGGCTATCCATGCATCAAAGATGGCTTCTGCAGACCAGCTATTTTTATCATGGAGTAATTCTCAGCAAAACTCCCTCATATTTGTTTGATAAAATTGTTTTCAGGCAAATGGTTCACTCTATCAACACCAGATCGCGTTTCCTTCTTACTCCACCGATGCATAATACTGCCCTTTATGAACGATCTTTCTCCTTCACGATCACAAAAATATATAATGCTCTTCCTGTATCACTGAGGACCATGAATTTGCGTCTTTTCAAATCAGAACTGAGAAAATACATTTCAGAAGGTAAATTCACTTTTCTATATAGGTAGTTGAGTCGTCCTCTCACCTAGTAGTAATCACATATTGAACCATATCAATAGATCCATCTGCCCTTCGATTTCCTCCTTCGATATCATCCCGCAAGTCATTTGGACCTTATCCTAATAAACCGATTCATAATATGTACTTTATTCTATTCGTATCTATTAGCTGTATTTTGTTTCATTATCTTATAGGTCAGAACTATTTTTTTTTTAATTGTATGATTTTTATTTTATCTTCTAATGTAGATGTATAATTAATTGATGTATATGATTTTCTCACTTTCATGCTACCTCGAAATGTGCTACCTATGTTGTAGTACGATATTTAGATGTCCCACAGAAATTGAATCATATTTTAGTTCACTCTGACTTGTAAACCTATATGTTGCCGTTTTCCCAGGTTGAATGGAAGAGCAGTTGCCTTTCTCCTTGGAAAGAGGTGACTGAATTCCGCCTTTTCTTTATTGAATAAAGACATTATTATTATTATTATTATTATTATTATATCAGGCAAGTATAACGCGAATCGGTCAGGCCATGAATAAAAGACCCTACTGGTGGAACCTAGAAATCGAGGCTAAAAGGAATGAGTGTATCCGTATGAGAAGACAGGCCAGCAGAGCGTCACGACGCCACGGAGTTTCTGAGGACACGAGACAACAGCTCAGGAATAATTATAAAACAAATAGGAAAGAACTGAAGAAGCTGATACTATGTTCCAAAAAGAACCAATGGAAAGATCTCTGTGAAGATTTGAACGAAAATGTATGGGGTAATGGATTCAAAATTGTGATGGGACGACTAGGGAATCTCGGTCCGGTCAAGCTCACGACAGAAAACATGAAAAGCGTGGCGGAGAAGCTATTTCCTAAAGCCGACGATGTGTTACAGGATATTCCCGGAAATATGGGGGAGCACGTGGAACCCTTCTCGCTAGAGGAGATGACGAGAGCGGCGGAGCTTTTAAAGAGTGGAAAGGCACCTGGCCTGGATGGGGTCCCATCCGAAGCCATCAAGGCAGCGGTGAAGACTGCTCCAGATTGGATGCTGGCGATATTGAACGACCTTCTGCAAGCTGAAGAGTTCCCATTGCAATGGAAAGTGGCGCGGTTAGTACTTATACCAAAAGGTTCTGGCAAGGCTATTGATGACCCTACAGCCTATAGACCGCTATGCTTGCTTAGGGCAGATAGCAAGTTATACGAAGGGCTGATAAGAGCGAGACTGAGGCAAGCTATAGAGGAGAGTGGTGGCTTATCCCAAAACCAGCATGGTTTCCGGAAAGGGCATTCCACCATAAAAGCCGTAGAATCAGTCATGGAACTAGCAAGAGACCGAAGTAGGAACTGGTGCGCACTGGTGACCTTGGATATTAGGAATGCCTTCAACACAGCTTCATGGAGTTTAATAATGGCAGAGCTGATGAGAAGACGAGTCCCGAGATACTTGCTAGCAATTACGAACAGATACCTGGCCAATAGACAAATCAGAGTCAGTAACGAGAATATAGAAGTGACTGAAGGGGTACCCCAAGGCTCGATTTTAGGGCCTGACTTGTGGAATGTCTTATACAATGGGGTCCTGGAGGTTGTTTTACCGGAAGGAGTAAACTCTATTGCCTATGCGGACGACTTGGCCCTAGTGGCAACGGCACAAAGTCAAGGAGGCCTAATCAGGAGAGTGGAGGAGGCGGCGAGTAGAATTATCAGGTGGCTCACTGATCACTACTTGGAGTTAGCTGCTGAGAAAACAGAGGTTGTGATACTGAGGGGGCCACGGAAAAGGAACTTATCTTTTGATATTGGAGGGGAAATGGTGAGGCCTGTTAAGGCAGTACGATATCTCGGAATAACATTGGACGATAAAATGAGTTTTGGAGAGCATATCAAGAGGGTGGTGGGGAAGACAGATGCTAGAGTAGCGGCCTTATCCAGAATTATGCCTAATATAGGCGGTCCAAGTAGCGATAAGAGGAAGGTCCTCAGTGGAGTTGCCCATTCAATTCTTTTGTATGGGGCACCAGTTTGGCATGCTGCAATGCGAGTGGAATCGTACAAGAAAAAGATGGAAACAGTTCAGAGGAGAATGTTAATTCGGGAAGCCAGTGCTTATAGAACGGTGTCGACTAAGGCCATCCAGGTCATCACTGGTACCCCTCCAATAGATCTCCTAGTGGAGGAGAGGTTTCGCCTGTATGAAGAGGGAAAAACACATGCGGAGATTAACAAGAACAGGGCTAGAGAACAGACCATAGAGAAGTGGCAAGCGGTATGGCAAGCAAATGAACAAACCGGGCAATGGACGAAGGCATTGGTACCCAACGTGGCAGCATGGATGAGGTGTGGACATAGGAAACTTGATTACTTCCTCACACAGGCACTCACGGGGCATGGTTCTTTTGGAACATATACATGGAAAATAAGGAAATCGGAGAATTCAGAATGCCGGTACTGTGGAAATGAAGACTCGCCTGAGCACACCTTGTTTCAGTGTCCACGATGGGAACGGGAACGAACATACCAAACGATCGAGATGGGGGAAGAAATGAGAGTGGAGAATATGGTAAACAGGATGATAGAGGATAAATCAAACTGGAACTGTATCCATAGAACGATCAAAAACATCATGCGCCAGAAAGAAATAGAGGAGAGAGCAGCACAGAGAAACGACGAGCAATGAATGAATATCAGGCCACCTAACACTCTTGATGAATGTCCTGTAGGACGATACCGGAGTGCTAGGGGAAGATGGGGGGGTTTTAGTCGGAGTAGCGCCCGACACTACCGGGAGCGATAGACTCAAAGGTCCCGGTGCCAAGCGGTTTCCCCCTCAGGAGAAAAAAAAAAAAAAAAAAAAAAAAAGGTTAGGTTAGGTTAGGTTAGGTTAGGTTAGGTTAGGTTAGGTTAGGTTAGGTTAGGTTAGGTTAGGTTAGGTTAGGTTAGGGCCGGAGGGTTTGTTCCCAGGCTAGTGTCATGCGCAAAACAAAGCCTCTGCACTAGCAAGATCGTAATGCGTGCCTTTCTCCGCTTGGCCAACTCTTTGGCTACCGCGTCTCCCAACCCTAAGGTGTAACTCCATCGTGCCGACGGGGTGCATGGCACAGGGATGAGATAGTGTGTCGCGAGCGATGCCCGCCGGACCAGGCAACCCGGCAGGGGAAGATGCCTCACCCCTGCATGCGGGGCTCTGCGGGGGTGGACGGACTTTCCCTAGCTTCTCGTGGGAACGAAAATGAAATCTATAGAAAAAAACAAAAAGCAGTCCGGGGTCCCAACAAGGAATGTGGCGACGCCCCAAACAAGTAAGAGTAGGATAAGTAGCATGAGAACCAGCCCGAGAAGGTACTAGACAGGGTCTTCGCCCGAAACCCAAAAAGAGAGAGAAATGACAGCGAGGAATGTGAAAGCGCTTCAAAAACCGGGGAACGTAGCAGTGATAGACCTGAAATGGGAAGATGCAGATGAAAGGGTGTATAAAAGAAAGAGAGGAGATGGCGAAACCGATCACCCAATGTTAAGGGCAGGTTGGCAATTGGACAAACTTAACAAGCTCATCGACCATGCTGACTCGGTGACCAGAGAATTGGCAAAGAAGACCGCAGATAAACCCGAAACCGCGGAGGACATTAAAGACCTAACTAGCATGCTGAGAAGTATTATGAGCCAGCTTAATACACGGGAGATGAAATCCTTCTTAACGGAAGGGGCGGTCAGTCCAAAAACTGGGGTAGCTGAGGCTCCTGAGGCCACGTCGGAGGAATTGCCCAAAAGCAAAAGCAAATGTACGTGTATATGCACCTGTTTAGCTTCGAGGTTGAAGTCCCCGGAGGACCTGAAGATGCTTAGTGAGTATGATGAGTTTGCGCTCATAGAAAAGCTAAAATGGGAGAACGAGGTATATACAAATACAGCTATCAGGGTGGGAAATCCCCTTGATACCGAGGACTCCTGCGTTAAGGTGGTGCTGGTCGAACCTGATGACCTGGATATGAGAATAAGCATTCAAAAGCTTTACAAGGATGAGTTCCCGGAACTGGCACGTGCAGGCACTGGGGTGGACGTGCTGGAACAGATTACGAGTGTTAGGGGCACTGCCACCACTACAAAAAGAAAGATAGTGAAAATCCCACTGGATGGAACACCGAATGATCTGTGGGAGAAACTGGAGCTCCTGGAAAAGGAGACGAGAGTTAAATACTTAGAACGAGCGAACGTCTTTTTAAAAAAAGATTTATTTGTTTTACAAAATACAGATCGACTGTCTCTGACAAGAGTTACAATTAGAATGAATAAAAGGTGAGAACTAGATTCGCTCTCAGAGGCTCGAATTGAGAGCTTTCCTGGAATACAGCTTGATCAGCGAAGCTACATCAGCGTTTTCTATGGGAACGGCAAATCCATGGGAACGATCGCTACATAACTCCTCCCTCCTTAAGACGAAAAAATAAGGGAGTTATTTTTTCGGGTTGGAATCACATCTGCTTCTTGACCATCTTCTTCTTCCTTTTCTTCTTTTGAGCGGCGTCGAAGCGTTTTGTAGAATTTCTTCTTCAGGATCACTAGGATCGATATTGAAAAAATCAATCCAAGGAGAACGCCAAAAACTATGGTGCTTGTACTCGAAGTTTCGGATTCCTTGATTGGCATCAATCGTTCCATCATATTGTTGATTTTGTAAATTTCTTCCAAGTTCAGCTTTGTGAAATTTGGTGTTATGTACAATTTTGGTGTTTTCACGTTCTCGGTATTATATTTGGGTAAAATAAGTGGTTTGCCTTGATAAATTCTTATGTCGTTGAGAAATGTCCGGTGGTTCACATGAAGTTCGCAAGTTTTCGGTATTTTGATGATAGTTGGATGATTTATCTCAATGTAACGGTCAGTTTTACATTTCGAGAATATTCTTTCCTCTTGGACTGGAATGATCAATACTTCTTCTTGGGTGATTTGTTCTACGATTGACTCTGCTAGGTTTATTTGGAGTGGTTGACAATTGGCCGTGAGGTTTCCTTCGATCAGCTGGATAGTACAACGGTCCTCTGGGTAGTAGTCCTCAATACAGTAATGTGTTTTTTCCATCAACGGGCATGGAACTGATTCGAACTGAGTTTTTGAAACTGTTCGTGCCAAATAGGGGTATTTGGGGATAAAAATGTGGTGATTTTGTGTAATGGGATATAGATGATAGAATAAGAAGACTTCGTTTCTGATAATTGGAACATGAATTGCAAAAATTAATTTGGTTTTCGAAAACATTACTTGAGTTCCAAATAATTGATAATAAGTTAATAAATTTTCAAATTTTGGTATTTCTGATTGTTTGTAGAATTTTCTCAAATATGTCAACATTTCCTCAAGCTCTGAACTAGATACTATAGAATTATGTAAGGTATTCAGCTTAGCAAAGGTGATAGCATCCTCTAGGTTGTCGATGAATGTTATGATATTTTGGCAATCTAAAATTATTTGTGATAGTATACTATGAAAACTGATATAATTCATTAAATTACCAATAGTTTTTTGAACTGCTTCCTGAAATATTTTCAATCCTTCTTCAAGTTTTTCCTGATTTGAATTGAGTGTTCGAATAGTTTTGTTATAATGATTAATGAGTTGCTTTGATAAGGAAATTTTGCATATTGACTTCATGAATTATATTGTCTTGGTTCCGTTCTAAGGTCGCAATACTTTGGTCGTACCGTTCACCATCTTCGGTATCGAGGGTGCCAAAGAGCCATTTATCGATTTTGCCTATTCCATCTATCATTCCTCTCTTCGAACGTATGTGGGGTTGAAGATTTTCTAGTTTCATTCTGGTTGTACCTACAAGATATTCGGCTCTCGTCAGCATGTTTGCCGACAACCCATGATAGGATATGGGGTTAGAAATGTTGTCTTTATTGAAATTATTTTTAATTGATATGAAGTATTGGTTTAATTTATTTAATTGATTGATTATTGGACTTAGATCGAGATAGTGTAAAAATGTATGTTTGCTATATATGATTTTTGCTTCCCCTAATTGTATAGGTAGGATGGGATTGGTCACGGTGGTTATTTGGATATCTTCGTTGTTACAATGTATTCGGAATACGTGAAGTAGAAGGTATAGGGTTGGTAACTTCATGTTCGTTTTTTCCCTGTAACAAATTTCCTGAATTAGTCTTTGGTTTCCTAGCAATGTTTTTATGGTAGGTCCCTTTGTCAGTTAATAGTTTGATTCCTGTATCTTTAAGAACTTTTGTTTTTTTGAATTTTGGCTTGTCTTTAGGTCTGGCTTTTGTTCGAATGTACGCCACTGTCTGTTTTGTGAAGTCCGGCGGGTCATTTCGGTTTTCGTTTATCTTTGTTATAGTTTTTTCTTTAGTTTGTTGGTTCGTCTGTTGTATTGACTGATAGAGTTTTTCAGTATTATTTTTATGATTTTGAACAAAGTCGGAGACGATAATGTGGTCATTCAGGTCGAATGGATTCGTGCTATTGATATGGCCCTTAACTACTTCGAAAGGGGTATATTTAGTGACACTATGGATTGCGTTATTATAACCAAGAACCGCACGTTTCATCAGCTGTTCGGGTGTGTAATGAGTTCCTTCGTCTTTCAAACACCTATAATGTTCGATTAACGTGGAATGAAACCTTTCGACTGGAGAGTTCGAATTACTGTTTTTTGGTGTCGTGTAATGGAGTTCGATTTTATATATTTTGCAAAAATTTTCTAAATCTTGATTTTTGAACTCTGTGCCTGAATCAGTGGTTATTTTTAGGGGTAGCCCATGGTGAGTGATGAAATTCAAGAGATTCTCTACTACCGAGACTCCAGTTAGTGTTTTTAAGGGGTATGCCTGGCCATACCGAGAAAAGGAATCGATAATCGTCGAGAAACTATGATTTGAAATTTTGAATGTGTCCATGTGAATATGGTCGAATGGTTTTGATGTGGTGGGAGTGAGATTGAACTTAATGATAGGTGGATTACGATCGTACTTGTTCTTCTGGCAAGTTTCGCAGTTTTCTATGTACATTTTTATGTCGTCTGCCATTTTCGGCCAATAAAACCTCGAACTGAGTGATGGCTTCATTTCGTTTATTCCTCTATGGCATGTTTTTTTCACGTGAATAATATTTCCGATAGCTCGAAGTCCCTTTTTAAAAACTTTATTTTTCGTATACACGTATGATGGACAAATTATGTACAAGAGATGTTCAACATACGGAGTTGAGTTAAGAACTGACTGCAGAACGGCTCTCGCTGGGTACACGACGATCTTGCTGATTTCATGGAAACGGTGGATTCAGGGAATCCAAACTGTGGGATCAGCAATGTCAGCATCTTCTTGTGGGAACCTATGTTGAGTGGCGACATAATTCCTCCCCCCATAGTTTCGGCTTCCGAGGGTTAGAGAGGAAGACGAACATCGCGATGGTCTAACTCTGGGGTTGTTGCAGCTCGAACCCTATTGGCTATCTTCTTGTATCCTAGGTAGCATGCGGCAGCAACTAGAAGTCCGTATATGATGATTGTCCAGGCACTGGGGACATAGGGAGGAATCCCGTTCAAGTGAAAATCGGGTTGATTTTCTATCACTTGGGTCCGGATTTCTTGCAGTTCGTCTAATCGGAGGTCTTCTAACTCTATGTCGATATTGGTTTTTGGTGACATCGTGATGGCAGTGTCTAAATCGGGGAACAGGATTGGCTGATTTGGATTTGAATATTGTTGTTCGTTTGTTATGGTGAACTGATCGGTGGTGAATTGGCAACCCATAGGAATTTCGATGAGGAACGTGCCAATCAGTTTCCGAATTTCTTCTTGTCTATGGCATCTGAGCTTCGTGGTTGATTCGGATGGGAACAATCCAATCCATTGATTGGATGCGTCGAGGTGGTTCAGCAGTGGTCTGGTCAAGTGGACCCGAGTCTGGTGGCATGTGGAGGTGTTTTTGATATCAAGCAGTTGAATTTCGCAGGGACCGTCTTCGACTTCTCGTAGTTCTTGTTTGTCGCAAATGTACCATCGAGGAAGGATTTCTTTGCAAGTATCACTCAGGAATGCAAAGTACATCTCGTTTTTTATCAAAAATTTATTCTTTGGAATGATTGCCTTAAACTGACCCTTTGAATATACTGGTGTTGAATAAAAGTGATATAATTCGAAATCAAAAGGAAACGTTATTGGAATATGAAGAATATATGTGATTTTATTATTGAGTAAATAGCTATCGATTTTGATAAGTCTCTCAAAATATTCTGTATTATTGAATGTTACTGCGAATGGTAATTGTTTAGATTCAGTTTGGTTATTCAATTTTTTCAATTCTGTAAACAGCTCATTTATTGAAATAATGCTCGGATGCATAACTTGTATTTTCGAAAATGTGATGGAATTTTCAATGTCCTGAAGGATGGAGTTAATTATTTCGTACATATTTATAATTTGATTGAGGATATCTTTTATTAGCATTGAATTCTCTCTATATGTATGACTTTCGACTATCAGTGCTATTTGGTTCAATTTTGAAGTAATCAATTGCTCATTATGATTGATCCTTTGGATTGTTTTATTAAATTTATCTATGACATTCAGAGATAGAGAATATTGTTTACCCATATTTGAAACAATTTGTTTTTGATTTGATTCTAGTTGAGAAAT